TGAGTAAACATTAGAGTAACGTACGAGGGTTTATTTATGTAAGGAAGCAGTTGCAACCGTATAGACTTTCTTTTTATGAATTAACTTCACATATCTGCAAGCGTGTGATATTAGAATGAAGCAAACAGCTAAATCAGATATCTCATAAGGTTATCAAAATTATATAAAATAAATAAGTAGTTTTGCAGTCGACCCCTATACTCTAGATGGAGCATATTGGTGGGCTTTTTCGCAAGATATGGTACCTCGCTCTGACGATGATCTTTAAAACATTACAGGCAAGATCTTAGCACAGGTTCATATGGGTCTCAGGACGATAAGCAATAGACCTCTGCAAAATCCAGCAGCCTTCAATCCAAAATAATACTATCTCATTTTGTGATAACGTTTTTCTTCATAGAAAGTCGAGTTACACGCACACGCTAGGTAAAAGTAGATAAATTATTGATGGGCATTTTAATCTGTCCCACCTAAAACAAACAAAGGTATGAAGACCAGGATGATGTGGCCAGTAGTACGATCGAGGTCTCCTTCCGTTGTTAGGCCTTGTTTTCTCAATTTAGTTATATTGGCAGGAAGACCTAGAGGAAGGAACCTTGATCAGAGGTTCATTTTAGACGTCTCTTCTTGGTTTCCAATTGTTTATATGAAGTTTACATGGGATTTTTTTCCTAAAATTGAAAATATTACCTTGGCCTAGCCGTCTCCTTTTTGTTGATCTGTAGAAACAAGGATACGGGACGATCCGAGATAGCAAAATACATTAAACAGACAGGACACGAAATCGAAAGAAAGACTGGCTGCATATGATGAAAATAAAAGGAAGCGCATGATACGAGAAGCCGCTAATATCCTGACTGAAATAAATCTAATGAATAGGAGACTTGAAGAAGGCAGGATTAGCGAAAACTTTGCACACTGTCTAAGCAAACTCGGAGAAGATTCTGACTTCTTCAAGTCTCCTGTTCATTAGACTTGTTTCAGTCAGGATATCGATGGCCTCTCCTATATTGAGTTTTATTTTAGTTGTACCATATGCGGCCAGCCTTTCTGTCGATTTCATGTCCCGTCTGTGCAGTGTATTCGGCTATTTCAGATCTTTTTGTATCCATGTTTCTCCATGGAACAGCAAGATAAAAAAAATGACTAGATCAAGGCAATATTTTTAATTTTACTTAAATAAATTCCAAGGACACCACAGAGAAACAATCGGCAACCAAGAAGAGACGTCTACACTAAGCCTAATCTAAGTAAATTAAACAACCATAACATTTGAGATTCGGCATACATGAGATTATGGCATAAGGCCATTGACTTGGCATTGCGGATAGAAGAACGAGTGATGAAGAGAACAACTATAGTTGGCTATTAATAGTCTAGTTCTATTATAGACGTGTTCCGTGAAGTTAAGGCCTGACCATGAGATTTACTCGTCCAGATGCCGTATAGTGATAAGGAAATCTGCAACGACAAGTTAGGTTTCCATACTACTTGAGGATCCTGACTTTATGGGCTTGCTCAGTGAGGCTGGAGGATACATTCTTTTAAAGGGTTAAGGCAGAGTGTAGAATATATCGCCCCGAGTAGCGCGTATATGCTGGCAGCGATTGAGTGAAATCACTGAACCAGGCAGATAAGAGAAATCCTACAGAGCGAGATGGAAATTGATAATACCCGGAGGATAAGGATTGCGGAGTAAGCGGCAGTCCTGGATCAACACTCCTAGCAGTGGGAGGATGAGAAAACCAACGGAGTATGAATGTGTCTCACAAAATCCGCTCAAAAGTGCAGACCCCAACGAGGCTTAGATAAGCAAGTAAGAAATTTTTATAGTGAAGAGGTGTTACGATGATATAGGAAAAGAGGGAGATACACCACAACTATTTAACAGACAAATGGTCAGAGGATCGAATTCACTTATCTATTTGGCTAGTTGTGGTGTGATGCTAAGGATAGTAAGATTCACTGACGATGCCGGAGAAACGTTTGGGAATGTACTAAGTCCATGGTCTGACTCTAGAAATTATCATGCATACTATGAACGCCGGACAAAATGCGTCCCTTTAGGTCTTCTTGCCAATATGACCAAGTCGTGAAAACAAGGTCAAACAACTTCTAAAACAAGCAAAGCCGCAAATAATTACAATAAAACCTTAGTAGTACACTTAGTACATGAATTATAATTTGATGCATGAGTATATTAAATACTCGCTTTAAACAAAAAATAGCCTAGGAGCTTGTCAACATTATCCAGAAATTGAAAGGTGGAAAAATTGCAATAGGGAGTATGGAGACCTTAAATACGAAGAAGTCAAAGCAGTTTTGAAAATATATAACTGCAAAAATCAGCTCCCAGTAAAACACAACGTTAAACAGTGAAAAGTGATTAAGAATATGGTCTTTAAGTATAGAAATAACAATGAAAATGCAAATAGAAAGAAGTCTAACCAAGAAAAAGAGCAACATAAAAAATCAAACCAGATTACCTTAGAAGTCAACAGTCAAAATTGCATTTTCAGTTGTTGATTTTTAAAAAAAGAACAGGAGTGCAGATGAAACACAATCAAATAGCTAAACAAGTATCAAGCATGAGGACATCTTCAGCTAAAACGGCATGGCTTTTTTGTTCATTATTTATTATGTATTGTTATTTATTAACTCCAGTAATGCAATTAATAAATTACTAATAATGAAATAAAGGGCCTGCAAGTGAAAAGTTGTGAAGACAACCTATACAATGTCACCATAGTAGCTGAAATATATGTAGGCAGATGCCGTAGGGAGAAGTAAAGTATGAGTAAGTACAGCGAAAAAAATTAGAGATTAGATATAAAAGTTCATGACAAAAGAAGATAGATTTTAGGCCCCTCTTAGTTTGTGAAGTGATTACCCAAAGCACGGAGTTGAAGGCGGAAGCAATGTCCAAAAATTACCTGAAAAGAGGAAAAATGTGAATCAACTACACCAAAATTAAATTAAAATAAGATTAACTATTTTAGCGTCTGAGTCATTAGTCTTATATCCTTAAGACCTAACCCATGGAAGATAATAAATCAGATAATGAAACAGCTTTTTAAAGTTAAAAGGCTGCCTAAAGCTTCATCAAGGCTAAAACGTTTTGGTTGACTAGGCTGTACAAAAGTGGGCTGACCTCATTTTTGCAACTTGATCGCATTGTCAGAACAACTTAGTTGGACGCATCTTGGCCAAAGTCCTCTGCCAAAGTCCTTCTATACATTGAAAGGAGACTGCAGCCATACGAAAGACCACACTATCTTACTCTTCATATCTTCGATTAGACTGTACAAAGTTTGGGCTTAAGATGAGCGAAATAAACATATTTGATGTTTCATAAGTTTAAATATAGTGATTCAAAGACAAAATGTTAACGTTATCTATATTACTTTTGCTCGCAACACCAATACTTACAAAGAACTTGAGTTTCGCTTGATTCACCATAGAACATGATTATAACGTTATATTCCCGCTCAATACCTTTAATTTCCAATTCCGTAGTTTTGCAATATAAAAACTTAAAGTTAATGGTAATAAATGCGAAGCTTTTGAAATTCAGTCTAAATGGTGGCCATAAATCGTTTTGGTGAATTTATACCATTTAAAAGATACTTAAAATAATATTTAACATTAATCTAGCAAAAATTGAAAAACAATAATAAATAAAATAAAAGATCACTTAGAATAAAAAGAAGACAAATCCTAAGTCAAAAGTCATAAAAACAAACACATAATATAAGCTTACACGTATATATGTACATGTATACCGGAAATGCTTCGATCTCAAGCAGTCTAACCTCTAGGCTGCAGATGCACGTTTCCCTTTAACAATACGTGATCTGGCTTTGAGAAGTCCACGGAGATCGGCGTTTGTCTTTCGTGAAGGCCGAGGAGATATTCGACGTCTGGTTGACTTGAGACTATGTCGGTTTGCAGGTTTCTTGACCTAGATCAAAGGTTCGAACCGGGATTAAAGAAAGAAGTACTTGAAGATAAATGATAATCCTGGAATCTGCAGGAATGACGTAATACTATTCGCAGTAAGACGTCAGGACTCTTCATTAAATTATAATTAACTTAAATTACGAGAATTATGGCCAGTTAGATGTCTCAAGATATCTCGTAATTAGCATGTTTAGATATTAAAAGTAAATCTTCAAAATAACTCCAATCATCCGAAGTCATAAAGAGCTCTCATTACAATGCCAACAAAGTGGATAATAAGTAATTATGTAAGATGATGTTAAAGCTTTTATGCGAATTCAGTTGCATTACAGCGATTGCATAGACCAGTGGTTCCCAAAATTTTCCCAGTCACCAGCCCTTTTTCAATTAAATTTTTTTCCCATGGCGCCCTACGCTATGTATGACTATTCGTAAGAGGTAAAAATAAATAAAACTAGTGTATCTTCATTATTTTTTAATACTTTATTAACATTAAATTAATATTAAATAATTAATATGATAGATGAGCCTGCAAATCACTGTACATTTTCTCAAATTGAATCTTTTACAATATTTCGCGGAGCCCCTGTAAAGAGGCTGTGGCTCCCCGGGGCGCCGCAGCGGACAGTTTGGGAATCACTGGCATAGACAACAAATGGGCAAGTGCAATGTGAACGGGTGATATTGATCAATTGGCTTAATTGATGGAGATTGCACTTGCCTGTCACGGCCGCTTCCGATATATATAGTAGATAACTCGATTGCTCCACCATGAAAATAGATCACAGGAAAAGATTGACTGTTTGAGGAGAGTTTTGTTAGTGGGTTAATAACATTATCATATTTCGTCTAAAAGGAGCATTTTTGATTTACTAAATCCGGACGATTAATTCATTCTAGCTTAGCATTACAGGCAACAGGGCTGAAAGGATCCTCTAAGCTAGGCCTAGTCTTACCTTGTAAATGCGAACGAGCCAGTGTTCTGTTGTAAAAGCTTCCTCCAGATGGGTAAGCGAGAATTGCTTCCTGCCTATTTCCGCATTCCTAGTTCGATCGAACCCTGCTGGAGAATGCAGTAACTCAGTCACATCAGCAAAACGATAGTAGCTCATTTTGTACATTAAGGAATTGAGCATTGTTTCGCTAGCTGCCCCATCAATACGATATTCACCCTAAAGAGAAATAGGTAATCATTGAATAGCTTGGCTGCCAATAAATAAATGAATATATGTATGCATGTATGTATCAGGAATAAGTTCATTGAGAGATAACTTGTGAATACAGACGAACCGTTATATTTAGATTCTATCAGGCTACTGATGATCTAATTAAAATTATAATAAAAAATGACATTTTTTCCATAATTAACAACATTTAAACAGCCTAAGTCTCACACAGTTAAAAGCTCTGTAAAGAGTTGGTATCTAACCTGGTGAGTGAGGTATTTAGCTTCCTGAATTATATCAGGATGTTCGCCTTCCGCAATTCGGACCATCCAAAGAAATTTGTTTATATCATCTCCCGAGTAGCCTAGTAAGCCACCGAAGATCACCAGAACATAATCTACGTCCAGATCGTGCATCAGCTTGCGAAAACAAATAAGAAATAGCAGTATATGAGGCCATGGCCAGATCAGATTGCAGCCAGTTGCTAGCTCCCTTAGATACACAAAAGAGTAAATACTAGTGCACCTTTTTTAGCGAAAAAAGACCCAAACTCAGATAATTATAGGGTTGAACCACTATATCCAAATAATATTAAACAATACAACCGGAAGCGCTATCAGGTGGAAAGAGCAAATACGAATAAAATATATAAGAAAAATAAAATAATTCGTAGATTTATACAGCAAAAAAATTATCCAATAAATATATAAAACAAGAAAGCCAGAGACGATATAAGAAATTAACTGAGTTTAATTAACTAGAGCAGGCATTGACAAAATATGGATTTAAATAGATTTGTTATGCAGTTATTTAAAGCATTTTATCAAAATGCAAAGCTTCAAGCTAATATGTCGAATCGAAAGCATGAAAACCAAGATAATGTGGCCTGTATTTTGGTCGCAGTCTCATTTGGATAAGAAAAAATGGTTTTCGCTTGCTTTTATAACCTAGTCCTGTCCTCAGGTGGACCTAGATGAACGCACCTCGTGATAATCAAGGGGGAGATACGAGGATATGAAATAGAGAAACGTACGACAGATAATAATAATGTTCAGCAGAAATTTGGTCAAAGGATGTACTTCACTTGTTTCTGACACATGGTAGCTTAGTGCAAAGAATTGTAAAGCTAAGTGACGATGGAGGCTAGAAATTATAACAACTAATATGGAAGAGGACCGTATAGAAAACAGGACTGAGTTACGAAAACGAGATCAAACCATTCAAAATGCTAGGATATAAAAATACTTATTTAAAAATAAAATAATGTATGATTTCGTATAACAATTACCTTAAAAGCAAACGATTCATTCGATGACATAGCCATCCCAACTAAGGCAATATGGCTATTATTCCACGTATTATTATCAACAATCGTAGTCCTATTTGCCATGCCGGCTATCTGGTAACCATAATCCCACCAGGACATAATACGGGCATCCGGATGAGTGTTCTGACTGAGCCAAAAGTAAGCCTCACTAGGGTAAGAATTTAGAAATTAAAGAACAAAAAACTAAAATACCATTCAATCCAGATAAAGATAATAAACTATATCATACTCATATATAAACAATATAAATTCCAAAAGAATAAAGAAAAAAAGTAAGCCTAGAGCGCATCGTATTTATGGATTAGCACATCAAAAAAGAGAATGCCAAACCAGTGGTTTCGCAATTTTCCATTATTGAAATGTGAAAAGCACACCGAGTGAGAAAAACGTAAACACTAAATCAAAATAAATGGATATTAACGCCTGTACGTAATGAGTAATTGGCTGGGCTATTTAATATAAATACAAGTGTCAATGCTACGATGCCCAGTTAAAACTTACTATATTAGTCTAATCTAGACTTAGAAAATTAACAGATTTTAATTTTGCAGCACGTTATACACGATCTATAAAGGTATATTTGTATATATTCATTGCGTACAAGCATGCGAATATAGCAAATTTGACTAACCTCCCCCTTTCCAAATGGTTTTAATAACCATTCATTGAACCTCTATTACGGTGAATTCACACAGTCAACATTAAGGTAATCCTCAGGTTTCTGATGAGACCAATTAACGAATCCTATCCACCCATATTTTGTAAAATGAAAAACATAACATGAAATAATGAGTAATATATTGCTTTTTAATAAAAGGATTGGTCTATCTTTTACTAGCAAGCTATTAAGAATTGTGGAGAAGGGTAAGAACATAGAACCAAGGTTAACTTTATCCACAGTATTAAATATTGAATAAACCCTAGAGGCTGTCCACAGAAGTGAATAGACCAGGCATGGAAAAGAAATGTCAGGCTACCTTGTGCTCCAAAGACAGAACTTTCTACAGGATGGACAGCAATTTATATAAAGGCTAAGTCTACACATCAAGATAAAAGAAGCAAAACCATTTAAACTCAATTTATTTCCTGCATAAAACTGGTGCAAAATATGGGCAACACCACCTGTCATAATAAGGTGGACATGACAAGACTTTTAAATTTAAGTAAATACGACTTTCAGCTTACCTAGTTGACCTAAAAACGCAAACAATGTAAAGCCAGCCTTATACAAAACGAATAACTTTACTTTCGAAGAAGATAGGTGAACTACGAAGAAAATGGGATAATAGGAGAATAAATAAGGATAAAATAGCACTTTCCTCAGTAAAGCCATCATTTCGGAAAATTTAGGACCTACTTTACAAACAGGGCTACTATAAGGTCTTATGTTCAAGTGGTAGCGTCTGTGAGGAAGACCTGTCAAGAGGCTATCTGAACATAAAATAGCCTGCAAACTTTGTGGGCCCAAAAGTCGAAACTGGTCGAGTAGATAACCCACATAGGCAGCAGAAAGACTGATCTATGCAAAACGCTTGGCTGAATATGGAGACTATACCAGTAAGGATAAAATTGAAAATCTATAGAAGTCAACAAACAACCAAAATCCTGAATAGAAGGAACGTGTGTAGGAAATTAAATGGAAACTATCTGTGAATGTTGGATAGGATTATAAAAAGGGATCAAGAAGTACTGCAGAGCAAGGAGGCTTGATTAGCCTCAAATCTGGCTTCCACTCAAAAACCCCACTCGCCCCACGATTATTGCATAAACATGGCACACACGCAGTGAAATGCAATCACATTCGACATCATTGCAGGATAAAACAAGAAAATATAAGTGTTTTAGGGTAGGATGCAACTCCTAAGCGATCTTTCTACAGCTTCAAATGAGGCTGAGAAAGGCAGGAATCACTGATGAACGTGTGGGAATGTACAAAGTCCATGGTCCGATGCTGGGAACTATGATAACTACTATAGCAGAGGGTTTCGGACAAAATGATTCTAAGTCGCCTTGACAACACGACCAAGTTGTGAAAACCAGAGTCGACCACTTCTATATATCGAAAGGAGACTGCGACCAAAGGACCACAACACCTTAAATAAGATAGTGAATTTCGAGAGTACTTTATGGTACAATATTGACTAAGATAAAAATAATCAGTTCAATAAGAAGAAAAACTATACAAAATCATCTATACTAATTATGGGGAATTGAGATGGTAAACATTAGGTATGCGAATAGGGAAACAAAACATTGGTAAAGGCCAAACTCACCGGAAATCGTCCCAAATAACACGTGAGCCATCTCGCGAATAAGATGCAAGCACGATAGATGGACTGGAGTAAGCATTAGAAGTAACCCAAGTGCAATGCATTACAAAAAGCAAGAGAACAAATATGATAACAAACACGCCCAGATACTCATCGGAACCAAGTTGTTGTAAATTCGAAGGACTATCATTTGAAGTAGTCCCCTGTGTAGTCTCACCATTCTAAAATAATTAAAATATTAATATTATTATAAATATATTAGGTCAATGTATATAAAAATTCTTCATTACCTTTCTTTGGGCCTTACTCAGCTTGTCATAAAGATTTTTTTCTTTATCATCAATTTTAGAAGGGGATTTGGATAAACTAGCAGAGTTGGCCGCGGTTGTCTGAGCCTCTTCGTTTAAAAATATTTCAAATATGCGAGAGAACGCGATGGCTGCAAATACGCAAACAATTGGAGTTAGAGTAAGCATAAGGCGGACCATAACACCGGCAAAATACGAGGCAAATATTGCATAAAGTATTATAAAAACGCGCTCATCTGTGAGACGCGTAAAACAAATCCAAACGCCAGCAGGAAAGACTGCGACTAAGATATGCAAATCAAAGAAGAAGGAAGTCCATGTTGTTGGCTGATGTTCAGAAACAGAGGAAATGATAGGAATATGAATCTTGGCGTAACCGGTATCCCAAAGAGAATAAAACCTGGAAAACAAAATTATTGACATCAGGAGCAAATAATAATCCTAATTCAAAGCCGAAAAAATGACATTCATTAAAAATAGCACCTTAAAATCTACGAAAATATTACTTTACCTGCCACTCCAAGGGGCAATAACTCCAGCATAATTCAAACCCACAACAACGAGAAATACGAGCCCAGCAAATCCAATAATAGAGACAGAAAGGAAATGTTTGAATACAGATGATGTAAATCGAGACTGGAGATATTTGAAAGCCGCAAATGCCTAGGTGAGCATGATAGTAAATAAATGAATACTTGAAGCAGGAAAAAGATGCACGCAGAAGCCATATGTTCGCTTGTGCGAACAGGCTGAAAGCCAACAAAAGGTACTTGCATTGATAAAAGAAGAGCCAGTATATAAAAAGTAGTGTAGGCTATATAGATACGGGCTGAGTATCTCTGCATTATAAGCAGAACTAACACATGAAGTGGGATCAAATTTATTATAAATACATATCCCCCCCATGCAGAAACCATGTAAAAATAGCTCAGGGCACAGAAAACAGTCCACATTACGGACCCAGTTTTGACAGACTTTATCCATAGGTAATAGGTAAGCATAAGGGCAAAAATAGCTATTCCTTCATTGTCATAGCTGCCAGCAACTGATCTACTAATATATCCAGGAGCTAAAGTGTTCGGTAAGAAATAAAAATTACCTATTGAAATAAAGCAAGCAGCAAAAAGCCCGGCACCTTCATTCCAAACCTCTTTGGTAAGCAAATATGTGGCAATAGCTGTCAAGCCGGAGAAAATTGGAGCAAGGAAGACGCATACTTCACGAATATGAATGGGTATATTCAGAGCATTTAATGCAGCATGAATCAAGCCTAAGAAGTTGATGAAATAGAATAAGTGTACCGGAGGTGACCATTAGGCCAGGATACACCGTCCCACCGACTATTCGTCCCAAAGGATACCAAGCCCGATAATCAAACCAGTTTATGAAATCGTAAAATCCATTCTCTACCATATGCTTAGTAGAACGATAGTTGAACCATGGATCAAACTCATGAATAATGCTTTCAAAGCGTATCACAGAGAAAAGTCGAGAACTAAAACCAACTATCCATGCTAGAGCAAGAGTCAGGATAGTTATCAGGGTCTCACAACCTGTAATGTTGATAGGGGAAAGTTTGTCGGTCAACATTACACCGCTTAAGGCTGCCACGCTCAAAGTTTGCGGACACGTGGGCACATTCTAATAAAATAGTAACTTCGAGTATAATAGGTTAAGGTAACCTTTTTTCTTATTTTTAGGACTTAAAGATAGTATAACGGGATAATTTATTTTCTTTTAGCAACTCTTTCCTCAATTCTTATAAAATAGGACAAATGACGATCCCAAATAATGACGAATTATATACTACAAAAATATACTGTGATCACACTATCTTAGTCTTAAAATCTAAGATTTATTTATGATTTATGGCTTAATGGGAAGATGTTAGGTAAGGAGCATTGACCAATCTCGACCCGTCGTTCCACTGAGTTTGGCCATTTACACCATTCAATAATCAGCGGACTTATACACACTTCCGATTATAATTTGAAATATTAAAAGTCATACTCCTTTTATCAAATCCATAGTTCATCTTCTTAATCTTACATTTTAATCTTTTTTCTTATGGGGCTTGGATTCAGTATATAGGCCTACCATATTTCATTAAGTAGGATGGATCTGTGGCTTTAATAGCTTAACTTAGATGACAAATCAGGTTTTATTAAGACAAGATCACTTTGAAGTTATAAATACCAGTTATTTAGGGAAGCATTAGAAGAGGACACATATCAAGCAACATTTTTCCAGGTAGCCTTGACGATACGGCCGTTATACGAAAAAGATATTTATCCTATTCTTAATACATCTACTAAATTAAACTCAATTACGCATAAAAATTAATTCCAACGAAGCCGCCTAATGAAATGCTGATAATCCTTCTAAACTTATTAAATTTTGAGGCTCTGGTGTATTGGAAAAAAATGATTTGTCTGTACACAAATATGGATTTGGAGCTAACTTAACCTAAAAACCAAAGAGGTCTTAATATAAAGAAGTTTTTAGTCTAAAGCTAGAAGCAACTATCTTATTCTCTTACATTACGACAATAGATGGCGAAAGTATTTAAGTTTCATATTTTTAAAATAGTGTTTGGAGGATCATATATAGCTATTCAAGCTCATGAAATCAAAATGGGTATTTTTTCACGAAGCTAAGTTGAATATATAATATAAATAAACATGTATAATTATGACTTTACTTTATTTACTATCATAGTTGCCTAATATGGGATTCATAATTAGCAGCAAAATATAGGAAAACTAGAAATTGTCAAGAAGATTTAATATGATCTCAATCCTAACCCACTTACAATATATCAATTTTATTAATAAAAACACGATTCATCTCATATGTTTCCTACATTCACTCTTATTTTAAGTTGCTAAAAAATCTAATGACATCATTCCTACATTAGATTTTAACAAACATTGAAAATCTACTGGCCTAAGCAAATAATGACTGAATGGTTTTAGATAATCTAACTATAATTTGTTATTAGGGTGATTAGCTGGGCCCTAACATTTTGAGTAATTTTAATAAAGCAATGTGCTTTAGCACACTGCCTGATACACAGTTTTTCTAATTAGTATATTGTGAA